CTGATTCTAAAGAATTTAGTTAGTGGATTTCAAACTTAGTTCATATGCTGAAAAAACTTTCCTCTCACATTCCCTGATACTAATAAGTCATATAAAAGCCATAAATGGAAAACTCTCTAAGTTTATATTAACAGATGTTGTCACATATCCAGTACCTTAAGACCTAGGAGTGCCTAGTAAGACTTGTGCAAAAGGCCTTCTGACTTCAGCCTATCTTTAAAAATGAGTGAAATCTATTTGAATTACACCTCTATCTATATTCAGACAAGTCAAACAGAGAAGGGCAATGGGACAATACAGTACTCTTTAGGACAACTGCTATTGCTCTACTTTTTAATATCTGCATTGCATTGTTTGCTTCACATTTCCTTTCTTTTAGCCACTTCCAGTGCATGGTCCCTTTGACCTAAACTGTTGGAGTACAACAAGTTTATAAGAGCTGACATTTTCCAAGGTGCCATAACACAGCCCCATGCACAGTACATATGATCACACTGTGCCCTGGTTGTCTGTGTGCCCCCTCACCAGCAGGGATGCCACCTCCCCACACCAGAAGCATGGGAGATGCCTCAAAGCAGTAATTCTGGTTTTGGCTTTACTTTCAGAAGAGCTCAAATGCATCAGAACATGGCTGATATAAGGGTAACAGGTTTCTTTTGTTATGTAATTATGACAAACTGTAGCTGTTTGACAAAGAAAAGTAATTTTGTATTCTCCAATGATTTGTCACACTAGCACTATAGAGATTTCCTTCAGGAAAATAAATACAGACAGAAACACTCATCCTATATTGACTCTGTAATTCCTTAATTTATTGTTTCCAGTCACTTTTCATGTTTCAATGTGTCACAACACTGCTTAAAAATGGCTAGGTGACTAAGGCTTTTTTTTCTACAGGCCTGATCCAGCTAAAATAATCTGAATTTGCATAAGTATCATTCAAGATAGCAGATAGACATGCATATCCAGTCTGCACTACAAAGCAGACAGCCCTAAGCTGGTCCCTTATGTCAGTGTTATATATGCCAAATAATTTAGGACCGCTATAATGCACTTGTGCATATTTATATAAAAGCATATCAATATCTTGAAAGATCATCAATTATCTTGAATTGATTTCCTATTAATTTCCAATTATTTCACTAAAGCACAGTTGCTTGCTTTACAAGTTTGATATAACTAGTTACAAAAATGCTGCAGAAGTTACTTCTAATTTTATTGGCTAATTTAAGTTTATATCTAATTTTCAGTTTATATCTAAGTTTAAGTTTATATCTAATTGCATATATCTAATATACTTATATCTAATTGCATTGAAGTTGATGGTAGCCAATTAATCCTAATGATGGAGAACTCTCTTGAAAAACTGATAAAGGTTTGGGAAGTGGGCTCCTGAGAGATTATGACAGGGACTTTCATCGGCAAGGGCAAGTACCTAGCACCCAGCACTGGTGCTGCCAGCTGCCCAGGATAGGTTAAGGCCACAGATAGCTTTCTGTCCTGGAACCTTTTTCATGTAACTCCTCCCCGAACCTCTTCAAGTTTTGCCTGCTGTGTGCAAGTTTCAGATGCGGGCTCCCAAAGGGGATGACAGCGCCTTTCTTCTTGGCAAGGGGAAGCAACCTAGCCCAAGCCTTTGTGGTGCCCACCATAGGCTGCCCGGGAGAGGGAAAGGCCAGCTACAGCTTTCTATCCTGGTGTGTTTTGTGTGAGAGAAATTGCTAGACACTTGCAATTTTGGATGTGGTCTGCAAAATTCTGAGATCCTGAGAGATGATGTCGGTCCCTTTCCTTGGGGAGGAATGCACCTCTCTCCCTGGTGCATCCTCTCTCCAAGGGGAGCTAAAGGCCTGCAACAGCTTGGTTTTTTTCTTACCATTTCTGCAGAAGCTCTTCACAGATGTTTGGAGAGTTGGAGATTTCATCCCAACTTCAGGGGTGAGCTGAACGTGGATGAGAGCGCCTTACCTTCGGATGGAAACGACTTATCCCTGGTATTATTGGTATAGGAGACAGGTTGCCCAGGGGATATAATGTGGGAGCGCATCCCCGGCCCCATTCCCTTCTGGGGGAGGTATCCACATTTTGGTACCTTTCTCCTGAAAGGCAATGGAAATACCTTTCCTCAGCAGGAAAGCACCTAGCCCCAGCTTTGGCAGCAGCAGAGGCTAGGCTGCCCAAGGGAGGTAAAGGCCCCTGGTCAGCCCCCAGTTACTGAAGGGAATAAGAGTGCCTTTCCTTGGCAAGAAAGGCGGTTAGTACTAGGCTTGGTGGTGCTCATGAAAGGCTGGCTGCCCAGGAGAGGTAAAGGCCCCCAGTCAGCTTTCTGTTCTGGAACATTTTGTGGGGGAGCAGTCCCATGGTGCCTTCAATAGTGGTGATAGTGTGCAAATTTCAGAGTTTGTCTCCTGAAACAGGATGACAGTGTCTCTCCTGGCGATGGAGAGCACCTGGCCCCAGTGCTGCTGGTGCAGCTGGTTGGCTGCCCAAGGAAGGTGAGAGTCAGGGCAAAACTAGTTGCTGGATTAGCCTTTCTCATCACAGGCTTTTAACTACATCCTTGGTCTATGGACATTCCTTCTCAGATATATGTACCATAACATTTTTTCACTCTCACAGATCACAGTTTCTAACCTGAAAGAAACCAGGGGCTAATCCCTGCAAAAGCTCCTAGAACAAAAAGCCACCACTGATTTTTCACTTTCCTCTGCAACCAGAGAACTGCACCAAACACATGGCTGCATTACACTTCTCACCTATTCATACTGTCACACTCTCAATCTCACAGGCTAAATCAAAAATGAAGTGTTTTGAACTACACCATGTAAAGTGTGCCATGAGAGAAAGGTTTCAGTGACCTACCCTTCTAATTGCAAACTTCTTTGCTCTTTTCAGTCAAGTGGCAGCCACTTTCCCCTCACAGCCTGTAAACTGTAAAACCCATGGTGCTCTGCACATTCTTTTCGGCTAGATGTACCATAAAGCACTTTCAGTCTCACAGAGTCTCATACACTTCTCGGACAGAAAAACACACAGCTACTGAATTTCCTGTTCATCGTGCAGCCTTTCATGAACACGCCACACACTGGGGCTGTGCGCCTTCCTTCTCAGCTCTATGTACCCTCACATTTTTTCACTCTGTCAGATCCCAGCTTCAAACTTTAAAATGCCCAGCAGATACTCTCTTAAGAAAAAGGTACTAGAACAAAAACTAGCTTTGGCATTAACCTTCCCCTGCTGCCTAGAAACTACACTCAATAGTGTTGCTCAACACTTTCTTCTGACCTACTTGTACTACCACACTCTTGCGGTCTGAATGTAAACTGAGAAGTTTCCAGCCCCAGCTCACACATATAAATGTGCTAGGACAAAATGTTTGCTCGCATCTTGCCCACTATGCTTTCTGTCCCGGAATTTTTTGCGTGCAACTCCTCCCCAAACCTCTTCAAGTTTTGCCTGCTGTGTGCAAGTTTCAGATGCGGGCTCCCAAAGGGGATGACAGCGCCTTTCTTCTTGGCAAGGGGAAGCAACCTAGCCCAAGCCTTTGTGGTGCCCACCATAGGCTGCCCGGGAGAGGAAAAGGTCAGCTACAGCTTTCTGTCGTGGCATGTTTTGTGTGAGAGAAACATTTGCAGGTTTGGATATGGCCTGCAAAATTCTGAGCTGGGATCCTGAGAGATGATGCCAGTCCCTTTCCTTGGGAAGAAACACACCTCTCCCTCGGTGCTGGTGGTGCAGAGATAGGCTGCCCAAGGGGAGCTAAAGGCCTGCAACAGCTTGCTTTTCTTCTTACCATTTCTGCAGAAGCTCTTCATGGATGTTTGGGAATTTGGAGATTTTTTCCCAACTTTGGTGTCTACACTGTTCACATGTTCTCACTCTGCTCTTTTCTTGTTGCAATTTTAATCTGCGCAATAACTTTCTTTCTGTTCTTAAATATGTTATCATAGAGGAGTTACTATCATTCCTAATCAGCTCAGCCTTGGCCAGCGGCAGGAAGCCCATCCTGGAGCCAGCTGGCATTGGCTCCACCAGACACAGGGGAAGCTTCTAGCAGCTTCTAACAGAAGCCACCCCTGTACCCCCTCCCGCTACCAAAATCTTGGCACAGAAACCCAATATGTTTCAAAATCCAATGACGTTTTTGCAGTTAGACACTATCACTGATGACTTACCAACCTTATTGACCTGTCATAATTTGTATTATTAAAGAGTGTTATTCCGTAAGCTGTTAGAGTGAGTCCTTTATAAGGTGATAGCAGTGGCCAGCAACAGATAACGCATTGGGAAGATTCGCCGAGGTGTCTCCACACTGTTGGCTTAGCCCCTAGAAAAGGGCAGTCGAATCACCCTCTAATCCAGTGAATCTGTTCAGTGAAGATTTCCCCTTACAGGACTCTGTCAGACAAGCTGGACATAAGGGTTTTGGCTTACCTGAGGCACTGACAGACAAATAAAACACTAAGGGTCAAGAAAAGCTCTCCTCTCTAAGGGTCAGGCAACCCCCCCTTACCTTTCTCATGACAACCCCAAAATTGCAGACCTAACAGGGTCTGCAATTTAAACACCCTACTCCTGAGGACTTCCAGTTTTCTTACCTAGGCCGCTACCAGAGTCTCCTCGCTGAAGAAGAAGTTGCAATAGGGGCACAGAGTCAGGGAGCAGCAACATTGCTAGCCAGCACCATAAATCACTCCTATGTCCAGGCTGCATTGCCAGGTCACTTTTTCCATCCTCTGAACTCCTTTGCAAAATACCTCCAGCTCACAGTGGATGCCTTTACCAAACCATCACTGTCTCAGTCACCATCAGCTGCATACTAGAAAAAATGAGAATGGGCACCACTGTGCTCCATCCCATAGTTCTGATTTGATGAATAGCAAAGCTTGCTGGAAAAGTGGTGGGTGAAGACTTTTCCAGGATAAAATGACAAATTATGCATTTCATAAGCATTGTATTTTGAAAAATGATCTGACAACAGCAAAACAGTCCAAAGACTATTTAGCCATGAGTAGTATTTAATTGTATAAAGTCAAAAGTAATTTTTTTCCAGTACAAAATGCCTCATCCATCTAAAATGAATCTTTTGATAAGATCTGTTTAATAATCAGAGTTGATGTCAGGGTGCTACAATCCACCTAGGCCCACAGGAACATTTCAGATCAGGATTTCAGCAAAAGATTTCCACACACACATGCTTTTCTCTTGGTTGCAGTGCAGAGAGAAGCAACCAAGCCATGAGGTTTCATGTGATGAACATGCCCTTCACCCATCCTTGAGAAACCACTTGGGGAAAGAACAGTCTTCCATCATGCCAAGCAAAGTCCATGGAAACGGGTGGCAAAATTAACTATCCACACGCCTGGCACTGCTGCAGCTTCTCCCATCTGGCCCAGGCCTTGGGGCTGTCCCTGCTCCTGCATGCCATGAGGGCAGCAGCCACACGACCCCCCGTCCAGGACCATCACTGTTGAACATAATATGCTGAACATATTATGCTTCTGTTTCTCTAAAATGTCCAGGCATGGGAGGTTTTTTTGTTCTGCAAAACTGAAACCTAGGCATTTTGTTGTTCACAATTTTAGTATTTTTTCCATTTCCATTTTATTTTGACCTTTAACTAAGCCATGATGAATTTGACCCTACTGATTTCAGATAATTTTATCCAGCTAATCAAGACTACTTTGAATTTTAGCCTATTTTCAAAAGGGTTGATAGCTCTCCCCAGGTGCATTTTCTCATGTTTAATAAGAAAAAGGTGCCTACCCCTGCATTCAAAGTACTAAAAAAGTAAAAGACTTACTAAAGAAGTAAAAAACAGAACTACATAAAATTCTTGCAGACATTATTTATCAGCCTTCCCACTTTTTGATTTTTGGAATCTACAACTGAGCTTGATTTTAGCCAGTTTTGAACTTAACTTACAGTAATTTTGTCTAGACTCTATTTCCACATGAAAGTAGATCGGATAGGCCATTGTCCAAGTGCATTCAAAGTCTGGATTTCACCTTTTTTTTTTTTAACAGCTAGGCTAGTTATCCTGACAAAGGCAGCAGAGTGTTATTTTTACGTGATTTCTTGGCAAATTTACAGTGGCAGTCTCTTACCTCTTTAGTGACCACGAGGACCTTGTATTTACAAAAATACATTTTTGTTCAACAGAACAATGGTACCTCTCTCAGCAGAAGCTGACCAGGCCAATGCCCTTGGTAGCCTCAGGTATGTCTCAGAAAGCTGCGTTGACCTGAATACATCTAATCAATAAGTTTGAACCTGTTGGCATTCCAGCCACAGTCTTTCACTCCACAGTCTCTCTTCAGTGTTAATACTGCATAACTCACTTGGCATGTTTGAAAAACAGATTTTTTCCTTTGTTACCTGGCCAGCCTTGCATGCTGCACACCTCATTTGATTAATGTTACAATAATGCAGATGCATAAGCATAACTAACACAGTAACTGAATACAACTGTATTGTTAAATCCATCTGTTTTACACTTAAATTAGCTCAGTTCTAAACCAACACAGACATATTATTTATTGCCAACAGATACAGGAAGGTGGTTAGGGGCTTTTCCTTTCTCTTGCTCTTCAGAACAAAAGTTCACACATAAATAACAAATAACTTGCAAAAGTCAAAAGTTTTTCTTTTAACAAGTCAACATTTTCTTTTTAAACAAGCATTTTAAGAAGACTATATACAAGAAGTATAGTATGTAGGCATACTGAGTGCCTACTGTTGACTCACAATCTGCTACTTATTGACTCACATATCACAGTACCACCTTGCGAACAAGGTGTTTCCTGCATTTTCTGGAAGCCTGCCCCATGCACTGGGCTTCTTTAGACAGTCTGTGACACAAGATGTAGTTGCAAGAAGGTTTTTTTTCCAATTTTTCTTCCATTTCAGAAAGTACCTCAAAATGGCACTTTTGTAAACCTAACATTAGTGCATCTTAAAAGCTCATGTCTTCAAAGAAAGCACTGTCCACAGAAGTGACAAAATACAATTTCCCCTAATAATTTTTTAAACATTCAGGCATTAAAAAAAGAACACCCAAAATACATCCAGTTCACCGTAATTTTATTTTACTGTATTCTGTACAATGTACTGCACTTTGTTCAGATCTCTGGAAAGCAATCAATTTCTTTATTCTTCTCCCTCTTGAACAAACATTCATATGGACATAAATACTTTCTCTAAGTATGCAGCCCATTTATTTTAAGTAATTTCATCCCTACCTGAACTCATTTTAACCAGATTTATCATGGCATGTGCTACAGAGTTTGAAGGCTTTTTTAACTATTAGTTTGCTCCTTGCCTATGATATATAATAAAAAAATAAAATTCTGCCATAGCAGCAAGTTGTATAAGGTTAGCAGTAATATCCTGTGGACACAAAGACAGAAAATAGTTAAAACCCTCATCAGTATATACCTAATTCCAGTGTGGTAAGTTGTTTATGGAATGCATGTGGAGTGCTTAGCCATCAGAAAATATGTGTCCTTTTTATGTTTAGTCTTACTAGCTTACTGCTACTGCTAGGTATTTAATTACAGATTTAGAAAAGGATTTATGTATTAAGTATGTCATTCTGAATTGGTACTATAGCAGCAAGCACTGTTATCAAGAATAAGCAAACTTAAGTGCTGCTATAATTATATTTCTCCTTAAGCAGAAGAGTTACTAAATCCTACCTTCTTCCAAAACTACTTTAGTTTTTCGTCACAACCCTGGAAAAATGTGAAATAGTATTTTTATGTTAACTCTTCCTGTAAGCTTCGATTCTGTCTTCTCTGTTTATATTTTAGGTTTCAGTTCTCCACTCATTGATGCACATTAAACCATTGACAGGACTTAAAGAATGCCATGAATTGTTTCAAAACACTGTCAAAGAAGGAAATTTCCATAAAATAAGCCACCACTACTGGAACTTGTGATAAGAACCAGGTCTGGTAAGACAGATCTGGGTAACCTCCTTGAACAAAGATTCCCATTGTGGAAAACAGTGAGAAAGGAAAGCATTAATTATAGACATAAATGAAGGTAAAGGTTTGAAATTAGCACACTGGACAAAATTCCACTGTGCAAGCTGTGAGAAAGAAAACAACTGCTTACACTCATGCCATCCCAAGTTGTGGGAACATCTGAGACTCCCTGTGAATATCTGGGACTTGGACTGCATAAAAGCAGTACCCAAAAAGCACGACATTGGGACCCTCATCACCGAGAAGACCAGAAGGACCAGTGAGATCCTGTTAGAATCCATGTGGTGATGATATCTTTACCTTTATCTTTATCTTTCTACTTAATCTGTCTCTCTCTTTCTCTCTCTCTCTCTCTTTCTATTTCTATCTTTCTCTCTACCTCATATTTACTGCTAAATAAAACCATACTATTGACTTTGGCACATGGTCTCATCTGCATCTTAATTCGGGCAGAAGCATCTTTTAATAATGGGATCCTAACAAGCATTTATTTGCAAAATCTAACTGCATAACAGAGATGCAGTTTTCATCTTATGCTATGCAAATCACACTATCACCTTTCAAAGAACTACTCTACTCACAGATTTGGTTAGAGGATTTTTGGGTTTGGTTTTTTTGTTCTATTTTCCAACCGTGACCAGAGATCAGATTCCCCTCCGCATGTGCAATGAGGAGCCTATGCACATTATGAAATTTTAAACAAGCAAAGAGTGGTAAGTACCAGATCTAAAAGCAAGAGGTTAGCAGTCAGATGTTGAAAAGATGGAGAGTCAGTCATGTATATGATACAGGAACGCTGACATAGTTAAGTACTTGAATAAACCGCATCTATGTTAGACCAGTACTCGTTATTAACTTTTTGATTATATTTTAACTGCTATAGCTTCTCTTAAGTGGATGAATGTTGCAGTTCGAGGGGTTTCTGGGGGGTCACTGCCGGCCGCTCTGTGAAGGTTTTCAGGGCTGGAATCACCCCCCCACCACCCATCCCTCGTGGCAGGGACAGGCGGCGGAGGTACTTAAGCCAGGAGACAGAGACCATGTAGCACGCAGGGAATCCAGCAGCAAAGAAGGGCCTTTATTCAAATTTCCCGCAGCTTATAAGGTCTGCTGGGCCAAGGAGGGGATTCCCATTTGGCTAGCCAATGCAAGGAGACAATATAATAACTATGGCAACACAGAAACCAATGGTAGACAAGTGAGTTAACAACTTCCAAACCCCGGCAGATGAATGTGTATTTAATGTGGACCTATAATCAATCTGACAAATTCCACTGTAACTGGTAGCTTACTTCACTAGATTTTATAATCTTTACTCCGTCCTTATAAATGGAAATTCCTATTGAGGTTTAATGCTTAATACTCTGTATTTTTGTAATCAGCTAAATATTCCATACACATAATTAGTATTTACACATTATCCTTCTTGTGTACATTTAAGTGTTACAGAACAATAACATCTAAAACACTAGTTTTGTTATGCTGGCATTATATAAAATGCTCTTGGTTCCCTAACACAAAGCGGTAACTGTTTGGGAATCTTTACTTTCAATAGCTTATATAAGACAATAATTCTAATACTTGAAATACAGTATAATATTACAAATGCATAGTGTTTTCATACCCTCAGTCATATTAAATCCACGTTGTTTCTGTCTACTCCCCAAGCCATTTGTCAATTGCATTCTCATATTTTTTTTGTTCCTTTAACCAGTCTTGATGCCACCTAAGGTTCGCAATAACACTTGAGTAATTCTGACCCAAACTTTGTTTCCAACTGATAAACTGTCGTTTGTTATACTCCTGAACAGAAGAAGAAACCTTTGGATAGTTTACTATAGAACGGAGTAGTTTGTCCAAGGAATGTACAATTAGTGGGAATTTTATGGCAACATTTGTTAGCTCATCTGGATCAGCAGTAAGATCTGGAACAAACAAAAAGCCAGTTAAGACTGTATTTAATTAAATTAATGAGTTAGTCAGGACATAAAAGTTGTAACATACCAAATAGTTGTGGCAGTACTGAACAGCCATCCGAGTATGCGATATATTTCCATTTGCCAGTTCGCAGCATATACACAGAAGAATTCACATTGCACCCATGGAACTCACTCAGCACCCAAGAGGGCCGAGGTCCTCTTGGTGACACTTCACTCTCAGTCTTTTTATGGAGCAGCGGTATAAGAGAATATCCACTGAGGTTCTGTGGGACAGGAATTCTTGCTATATCTAAGGAAAGATATACAAAACCAAAAAGCTATTGCAGTTTCCATGATTAAAAAAAGCCTAACACAATGCTACAGTTGTCTGAACATTTTATTTTTATAATAAGATGTACATTCCTGATTATTATTCTTGTAGAACAAAGAAACACCAAAATACACAATGAAGAAACTTTAGGGAACTTCCTGAGGCAAGCTGCCCACCATCTTGATTAAATTCACTATCATCTATGTCTAACAGAAGTTTGTGAAAAGAAATCACAATAACCTCCTTTGATGGGTGGTGCTTTTTTATTTTCTAATCATGGTTGTAAACATTTCTCTTCCGCTTTGACTGCACTAGGCAGGAGAAAAAGAATGTCACAGTATGAAAAGACCCCAAAAGCTCCACATTCAACATGGCGTAGCATTCATTCCTTTAACAATAACAGTGCTAAGCTGCTATGTAGCATTCTTCAGCAGTGAATATTGAAATGCTTTACAAAGGTGGTTGTTATGGTTATCATCTGTAACTGGTGGGGAAACTGAGGCTTCTGTTGCAGGACTGGAGATAAAGATGGTATCAGAGGTAGTATCAAGACAGTGCATGTATGGAAAACACTGGTGACTCCATAACCCACTAGATGACCCTCAGAAGATGCTGTAATATCCATAAGCTCCTCAGCATCAACTTACATCACAAGTGTCTCTAGGTCCCAAAGATCAGGTCAATATTAAAATGCTGCAAAGGTTTATCAAAGACATTCTGAAAAACATAATCGAGAATCCCAATCATGTCACCTAAACTTCAGCACGTCCTAAAAAACAGGTATGACAGTAATTTTTTAATCACCACACTGATCATCTATAGACATTCAAAATTCAACATATTCCGTTTCACAGAGCACAGTGGTAGTATTTAATCTTCAGTTCTATGCCAAGTAGCGATACTCTGTGCATACAAATTGCCCATAGGTGACTTCCTTTATCAGCACACATCTTCCTTTTTGTCCTCTGTCCAGCCAGCATCTGACTAAGCGCTAGAAAGACTTGTAATGTGTAAACTCAGCAGTTTCCAATGAATGGGCAAAAACCTTGAACAAATACATACTACATTTAAACAAATGAAAAAGGGATATAGGCTCTTCTGTTATCCTAAATCAGTAATGCTATTAGTTGAAGTAACTGCATGTGCAAAAAATGTTCCCGGTACCTTCAGCGGTTCCTGCTTTTCCAATAGAAAGCCAAAGGTACTTTCATACAGACCAAGAAACCCCGTGTTGCCTGGAGGAAAGGTTATGTAACATCCTGTTAAAAAATGCAAGAGCTGTTGCACTTCCATCTGAATTATAGGTATCACACAGATTCTGCTGGAATCAAAACATCTGTGCCTATTCACAAAGTTACTAAAGGTGGAAGTCTTGAGTAAAGCATTTGGATGGTGTCTTAAGAGAGATTATTTCCCTTAGACGACACAAAGCAAAGGGATTATATTTATCACAAAAATAGGATTGAAATCTGTTTCCTCATTAGCCAGCAGTAGCATACAAACTGAGGACATAATAGACCACAGAGGTAGTTCTTCACGTTTTCACAGTCACATCGACATATGTGCCTTTTTGACATTCAGTTTACAGAAAAGGGGAACTGCCAGAAGAGAAGGAAAGGATTATACGCACAGAGTTCCGGGGGGCGGAGGGGGAAATAGAAGGAAAAGATAGAAAGATGTTAAACCACCTGGTCAATTATTTCATTTGGGGAAAGGGGACAAAGAAGAAAAAAAGGGGATTTTTAATTCTTTACATATGATACCATAACTTCATCATCACCATCATCATGGCTAGGCTTCGCAAACAAAGATTTGGGAAGGACACTACCCACATTTGCTACAAGCATGCTGGTGGCTAAAGAGGCCAATGCGAGATAGACAAGTCCAGCTGCAAAAGGCACAGCAAGACTCCTTGGATGGTATTGGCAAGACATGATTCTTTCTGCATTGTCTTTTCTCCTTGAGAGCGATCCTGCGTGCGTTCTCAAAAGAAGCAGCAGCATTATAGATGGTGTGTCTCCAGACCTCCCGATTGAAGGTCAGAGTAGACCAGTTATGAAGGTCAATATGGCCAAGGCTGAGATGTTGTTTCAGGGAGTCCTTGTATCTGTTCTTCGGGGCTCCTCTCTTGCAGCAGCCAGTGGTAAGTTCACCATAAAGCAAGATCTTAGGGAGGCGGTGGTCCTTCATCCTGGAGACGTGCCCTGCCCAGCGCAGCTGCGTTCTCATCAACATGGCCTCAATACTTGTGACTGCTATTTGTTCTAGAACAGACCTATTAGTCACATAATCTGACCAGTGGATGTTTAGGATTGTACGGAGACAGCGATGATGGAAGTGTTCTAGGAGACGCAGGTGGTGGCGGCAGATGACCCATGATTCGGATCCATATAAAAGAGTAGACAGCACAATGGCTCTGTAAACACTGATCTTTGTGCTTTTCTTCAAGTGTTTATTTCGCCAGACTCTTTTATGGAGTTTTCCGAAGGCACTTTGCTAACCTGTTGTCTATCTCTCCATCAATCTTACCGTCCGAGGAGATGAGGCTACCTAGGTAATTAAACTGTTGGACTGATTTGAGCTCTGATTGGCCAATGGTGATATGGGGATGATGGAAGATTTCCTAAGGTGCAGGTTGATAGAAAACATCTGTCTTCTTTAAGCTGACTTCCAGCCCAAAAAGCTCAGCAGCGTCTACAAAGCAGGATGTTAAAGTAGCAGCGGAGCTGCTTCTATGTGGGTGACAAGGGCGGCGTCATCAGCATAAAACAGCTCCCGGACAAGATGGTTTAAGGTCTTGGTGTGGGCCTTCAGTCGCCTTAGGTTTAAAAGGCTTCCATCAGTACGGTATCGAATGTAGATACCATTTTCTTCATCGAGGTCTCCTGTGGCCCTTTGGAGCATCATGCTGAAAAAGATTGTGAATAGGGTTGGTGCAAAAACACAGCCTTGTTTCACATCATTGGTTATTAGAAAGGGCTCAGAAAGTGTATCACCATATCTGACTAGGCCATGCTGATCCTCATGGAGTGAGATGATCATTTTAAGGAACTTGGGGGGACAATCTAAACGTTCCAAAATCTGCCACAGACCTTTTCTGCTCACAGTATCGAAAGCCTTGGTGAGGTCGACAAAGGTTACATAGAGACCTTTGTTCTGTTCCCTACACTTCTCTTGCAGTTGTCTGAGAACAAATACCATGTCTGTGGTACTCCTGTTGGCTCTGAAACCACATTGGCTTTCAGGTAGAATTCCTTCTGCTATAGTGGATATTAGTCTGTTCAAAAGTATTCTTGCCAGGATTTCACCAGCAATGGAGAGCAGAGTAATACCACGGTAATTTGAACAGTCTGATTTATCTCCTTTCTTCTTATACAAAGTGATGATGACTGCATCATGAAGGTCTGATGGTAGTTGGCCTAGTTCCCAACGGCGCACCACAAACTTGTGAAATTTAGCATGGAGTGCTTGGCCCCCATGTTTCCAGATTTCAGGTGGAATTCCATCAACCCCAGTTGCCTTGCTGATTTTCACCTGCCGAATGGCCTTAAGAGTTTCTCCCAAAGTGGGGGCAATATCCAGCTCATTCTTCACTGGTTGCTGTGTGATGGACTGAATTGCTGAGTCTTGGACTACACGGCTAGTACTGAAAAGAGTCTGAAAGTGTTCAGACCATTGATTCAGAATGGAGATTTTATCTGTGTGAAGCACCTGACCATCTGCGCTGAGTAGAGGGCTTTGGACCTGATATGTAGGCCCATATGCTGTTTTCAGGGCCTCATAGAATCCTCTGTAATCACCTGTATCAGCATATAATTGAATTTTTCCTGCTAGATTGATCCACCACTTGTTCTGGATGTCACGGAGTTCCTGCTGGAGCTTGCTGCATGCAAGATGAAAGGCTGCTTTTCTTACATGACAAGATGGCTGAGCAAGGTGTGCTTGGTGAGCAGTTCTCTTCTTCCTCAACAATTCCTGGATCTCTTGATTGTTTTCATCAAACCAGTCCTTGTTCTTCTTGAAGGAGAACCCTAAGGACTCTTCAGAGGATTTGATATCAAATTTGAAAGAAAAAGCCACTCAGATTTTATATCCTGTTTTCAACTGGATAACAGGATTTTTTGCTGACATTCACTGCTAGAAGTACAGTTTTATCTACTGCCCCATGTTCTCTCAGCCAACTGAGAGTGTACACGTGCAGTGTACACGTGACACATCTTAAAGAGAAACCTTTGCAGACTGGCTTGAAAAGAACGCTTTTCTGATTGGTAGCCTAAAAGATCACAGATAGTCTCAAACGGCAACTTCAACTGATGTTTAGTTTCAATGAGTCATCTCTTGCATGATTTATCACAGGCAACTGTTTAAAACTTCATTCTTAAAAGTAATTTCCATCCAAGTAAGTTCTTTTCATTTGAGTCTCTGTCCCATACTAAATACTTTCATATCTAATAAGGTAAGAATGGGTATCCATTATTATATCTTATTTCCTTGCCCAGATCAATTGTATATTTCTTATATATAGCCTACTGTTCTTCCACACACTCTTCATAAAAGACATTCCTTTCATAAGCTAATGAACCTGCCATCCTTTCAGGTTTAATCTCATCTCTCAATGCATTTACACTGTAGTTATGTTATAGGTCAGAAATTCAGGAGAATTTTTTTTCCCCTGCTCCACTGCAAGAAAAAAAAATGGAGTGAGTGGGGGGAAGAGAGTCAATTAGCTTTACAAAAGATCTGGTCGAATTCCTAGCTAGTGGCCCATCAAAGGCTGGGGGGAGCTGGCCGCCTGGACAGAGGAGAGACTCAGACTGCTGGGTTCTCTTTTGACAACGGAGACAGGGTCTGTGTTCGGGGCATTTGGAGAGAAGGCCTGGAAGCCTGTTTGTCTGGTTTCCCGTCCTGGTCAGCCCTGACTGCTGGCCTCAACTTGCCTGCGAGCTGTCTTTTGTCTCCAGCCCGGACCTGCTGTGTTTTCATCGGAGAGTCTCTGTGCTCGCTGGGAGAAAAGGAGGAGCTTTTGGAGTCCTGTTGGGGGTGAACTGCTTTCGTTATGCCTTCCTTCCAGCGGGGGAAGGGTCCCCCATTTCGGCTCCTCCCGCAACCCGAGACCAACCCCCCAGACCTCTCTCCCCACACGGTGACCTCCAGAGCCCAACAGCGCCCCCTGCAGGCTGTGATTAGGACTGCGCTAAGGGACAGAGAAGTATTCATTCAGACTTTTTTTTTTTCTAGGACTACTGTCTAGGGGTTTTTTGTGTTCTGTTACTGTTTTTTGCCAACATACATATATCTTTTAATAAAGGGTTGTTATTTCTTCTGTTTTTTTTCCACACTTCCTCGATTAAAGCCCCTTAATTTTGAATTTACAATTGCTGAGAGAGGAGTTTGGTCTATCTCATAACTCATTCTCTTTAGCAAACATTCCATTCCAGTCTCCTCAGACTGAGACAAGTTTCTATAGTAAACTGTTAGGTATGAAGGCTAGCAAGGATTATACATATCTAAAAGGCATCCAAGGAGGCATAATTCTGACTATAATACAAATGCATAATAATGGTAACTGGGAAAAAAAATTTCATTTGAAATTACTTAACTCACCAAGCATAGTAGGATATATATCCACAAGAGATACTACATTTGGTATTTCCTGCTGTTCTTTTACACCTGGTCCCATAACTAAAAGAGGAACATGGGAACTTCCTTCATACATGCTCATTTTATAGAACTGACGATGTTCCATAGCAAGTTCTCCATGGTCTGCAGTGAATATAACGACTGCTTTTCTAAGAAGCCCCGTATCTCCCAGAGCTGAAATAATCTCACCTGCAACGACAAAAAGGTACTGAAAAGCATACATTGAAAATACTTCTTCCAACTTCTGTACCTGCAAAGCAGCATGTAAACCTCTAGGAATCCTCCTAGTCAGAGGGCTGAAATCTCCTCTCTTTTTGCACATACATTTGTGCAATGAAGATATGACATACACTCCTCTCCTTTTGCATGTACATTTGTGCAACAAAGACAGGGCCAAGATCAACGAAGTCAGTAATTAAGCAAAGCACTTATGCATCTTAAATATTAAAACACTAGAATGATTCTTTCTTAAACAAACTGGTCAAAATATATTACAAAATGAACACCCCAACTTGCAATCTCTTTTCATTCATAAAATGAGGAAGAGCAATTCTGTGTCTTTGAATTCAATTTATCAGCCTAACATGTCTAAAAGATCAGCTTATTTATTCATGAATTTCATACTAGTAGGCAAGCAAATTCTTGTTCATTCATGGTCACTTTTCAAATTAAGAAACAAAATAAATTAAGACCAATTTGCATTGTCATTTTTGTGTATGTTGACCTTGTGGCAAACTAGGAAGAATTCTGAAAGTCCAATGAATTATTTCTTAATTGTCAATAATATGCTGCTAAGGGACACTCCAAATGTAACCTTATTGTTTAGTCTACGTGTAACAGCTGTTATCCAGTCTACGCATTTGAAATCAATCTCTAAGAACTACTTATGCACTAAAATTATCTTTCCTTACAGCTCTTCTTTGTCAGTCTGTCTCCTCCACAAAAATGTTTCCATTATTTCAGTTAGCATTTAATCAAAGAGCATTTAGTTCCCCTTGTACATGGGTCATGCAATGTTTTGCTGCTGGTTTTCAACAGAGCCTCTGACTTGTGGTTGTGATTACTTTTCAGAGTGCACTGAATTCACCTTGCAAGAACCTTATAAGCTATCCCATTATTTGTCATATAGATTGATTAAGCAACATCCACATGACTTACTCCCAGGTCTGAATTGAGGTGGTTTGTTTTCTATTTTTTCCCCAAGGATCAGCCCTATCAGCATTTTCCTTAAAAAAGCAAAACTAGAAAACTCACTGTATAATGAAATATTACCTACCCAGCATGGCATCTGTCTCTGCACACATAGCATAATAAAATGCTCTAATATTTCTCACTTCTTCCTCTGTAAACTCTCCTGTGCAATTCTTGGTGTACGATGAGTAATAGTCTACTGGATGCATCTCAGAGAGAGAAGACCACTTGGGTATTTTAATAGCTTCATAATTTACCTAAAAATAAGAGGAAATAACCATCACTTTAGCAACTGAACAAAACACATTTTTTTAACACAGATTTAATTAAAAACTTTTTCACATAAATGCACAGTTCTCAGTTTACAGTCCAGGAAACACCACCTGCTTATCTGTTATGTGGTGCTGCTACCTTGTCTGTACTTCACTGCGGCTTCCACAGGTAGCAAGTAATTTTAAAAAATCATCTAGAAACTAAGGCTAGGAGCCAGAAATGTGTGCTTTACCAGCTGTTGTATTATTTTAAGAGAGAGAGCACAGAACAGTCTTCTAGAACTGTACTCCCGAGTAAGTACAGAAGTATTGGCATAGTGTCTTCATTAACTGTATGACAACTATAAACCTCATGTAACAAAAAGATTGGGTGTTATGTGGGACAACATGGAAATTCATGCAGTCTCGGAAAGTCTCCAGGACAGTGATGACAAGTCTTGACATCTTGAAGAAAAGAACTGACTATATTAATCCAATTTTCTAATACTTTTCTACTTGTTTCTACAGATGTCAATCCATTTACTTATAAAGAAATGCAAGATCAGTGTGAAACTAAGAAGCCAATACATTTCAAGTAGTGATGGATATATTCACACTGGCATACTCACAGATATTGTGTGCTGCAGTACTAGATTTAGAGCCTCCAAGTTTGACATATACATTTAGCCTAGGCTGTCATACCTATAAGCATTCCCTTATGTAAGTGCTGCATTTAACAGTTAATAATTTCTATATAGTAGACTTAAAGCACAAATTACCACAAAAGCAGAGAAGATGTAATCTTAGTATGGAAAACTTAAATTTATTAAAAACTAAACCCACACCTGTTGCCTTTGTTTACCTCTGAAAATCTCTAACAAACAGATCTGAGGACTAGATTATGGCACAGCAACTCCAGTGTCTGTGGAGCACATTCCCGGGGCTGCAGTCACAGCTCCACAACTCGGCTGGCCCCAAACATGGGCAACACTGGTTCCTGATAAAATAACTGAGATACTTACTGTCCAAGAGGCTCTGTACAGCACAAAAGCAATCAGATCAAAGTTGTCCCTGGAAACATTACATTCCTGTTTACTTGGAGTATCAATCCCATGTTGTGTTGGAACACATGGCCAAGTATGGATAATGAAGAGCTGCCTGGGGAGCTTGTAGCACAGTGCCTGTCTCTTGAGCCTATGGTATATCTCTGACCATATGTTAATGTCCTTGTGTTCCAATACCCACAACATTCCACCTTCCACAATGTCAATATTATCTCTTAATATCTAGCAGATGTATTAAGCCATAGAATCGTAGAATCATTAAGGTTGGACAAGACCTCTAAGATCATCAAGCCCAACCATTAACCCACTACTGCCAAGCCCACCACCTAAACTGTGTCCCCAAGTGTCACATCTAGATGTCTTTTAAATCCCTTCAAGAAAGGTGAATCCACCACTACCTTGGGCAGCCTATTCTAGTGCTTGCCAAGTATTTCGGTGAAGAAATTTTTCCTAATATCCAATCTAAATGGTCCCTGGTGCAATTCAAGGCCATTTCCTCTCATCCTATCACTTGTTACTTGGAGGAACAGACTGACAGCTAAACAAGTTGGTAAGACTGAAAGAGTTAAAGTGCCCACAGGCATAAAACCTGGTTTTGTAATACTCAAACAAACACACCAAAATCTAAGTTTCCTTAGGCTCGACAGAAAATAGGCTGCTAGAAGAAATCATGGAAGATGAAATAATAGCAGACAACTGCTGCAGTCATCTTCCTACTGCTTAAGGTACTTGGTTACATAAAGTTACATTTTAGACTTCTCAAATTGTATTTATTAGCTTCTGAAGATATAATGGGAGCAAAAAGTGTCCCTCTCTATCCATGATTCTTTTCTACAGAACTACAACCTGGATACACAAAGTCATAATCCTTTTGTCTGTATACAGTAATTCATAGCTAGGAAAGAAGCCAGATGCCCTGAAAAAGTGACAGCTTGTGCAAAATACAGGGGACACAAGGTTTCACAAACACTGTTGATACTCAGTTCTGTATTAGAGCCCCAGTAAACAGACATTTAATTCTTCATCTTCATCTATGCAATCAAACTTCTTCATGAGATTATCTCTGTGATTTTCAAAGACTGCTTCTTCATGACCAAAATACAGCTACATCCCAGAAGAACCAGCCAGTGTTCAATAAATGATAATATGTAGTTCACACAACACAGTATGTATATGTAGTTTTGCAAAGGACCTCAGCAAACTATGGAGTTTAAGTACTCTCTCTAACTGGATTAAGGATGACACAAAAATTTGTCAGAGATGTTATAACTCTGTCTGTGACTTGAAAATGGTAGCCCCCCCTTCCCAAGACACATCTAACCTAGCAATTAGCACCTAGCAAGTTTTCCTTAATAACTAAGCTAGATCTTGTTTTTGTAAATGAAGGGGTTTTTCTCCATGTTCTTCCTCTCCCCACAAACGTTTCACCATTCCCAAAAGAACCCACAATCCTCACTATTACGAAGAAATTCAAAGAAATACAACCTTCATTTGTATATCTTTTTCTGTAAGTATTTGTATTTTTGGTGCACCTAGATATTTAGCAGTTCTCCACTATAGAAGGCCACAAATTATACACACTGCATATGGAGAGTTTTTCTGAGGTATAAAGTCTTTTCTAACCTAATTCTAGTGCTTCAGCTGCAGAGAATATTTCATGCCTTTCTGCAATGCAATCTGTTGTAACACATTCATATTTTATGGCAGATAATGGCAACTGGAGACCATGAAATAGAGGAAAAAGTATTTCTTCTTTGAAATGGAGTGGTATTTGTTAGCTTTACACATACAGACATAATGGGACTTTTTTGTGCTCTAAAATCATTGCAAACCTACAGTAGCACAGGAAAAGTTGACAAAAAACAAAGACTTCTGTTGTGTCTTATTTTGCTTCATGGTCTAGGTTCATGAAGAAAAGATATAAGGACTCCCTGAAACAACATCTCAGCCTCGGCCACATTGATATTCATAACTGGTCTACTCTGGCCGCAAACCAGGAGGCCTGGAGACACACCATCTTATAACGCTGCCGTTTCCTTTGAGAACGCACGCAGGATCACTCTTGAGGAGAAAAGACAACGCAGAAAGAATCGTATCCTGCTGAATACACCACGTAAGGAGTCTTTCTGCTGTGCCTTTTGCAATTGGACATGTCTATCTCGTATTGGCCTCATAAGTCACCAGCGTGCCTGTAACAAACGTGGATAGTGCCCTCCTAAATCTTTGTTCGCGAAGCCTGGCCATGATGGTCTAGGTTCATACTGCAGGAAAAGTTAATCTTTCACTGTAAAACTCAGACAAAATGGTTACCTATAACATCATTTATAACAAGAAGAATACAGAATATTCGTAACAATGAACTTCAAACCACTAACTGAAAATAATTGACAGCTATAATTTTGTTCTTTTTACATTTCTGGCTATTCAACTCCAAACTTCTTTATTGATTCAGTGACTACTGCTACAAACCCTTTCCAACAACAGAGAGGAATTTCTCCCTTCTATTTGCCTAGCCTTAAATCAGAAATCTAACACATCTTTCTTACTGTATACTGAAATATGAAAACTCAGTATGGCTTGAAAAATCAGGAATAAAATACTGCATGTAAAAAGTACAGTTATTAGTAGATTCATATTGAAATTTCATCTTCACATACCTTTTCAAGCCAATAGGGAGATGTTAAAAATGTAGAGGATCCAAAATTTTCTCCTGCATAGGGTGATGGGTATGGGTGTGGTAAATTTAGTCCCAAGTAAAGAACAAATGGTTGAGTGAGGTTAACAGCTTCTTCCTTTATCCAGTTTACTGCTTTATCAGTATTCCGCCAATCTGCTTCCATCACTCTAACCCGCTTCCTATCACCTGTAAGATTTACCATGGGTCTCCCTTCTTGCCGGAGCAGGAAGTGAACATCCCTAGTCCAAGCTTCCACACGGTTACTGAAAATACATACACAAGATACACACTCAGCAGAAAATGTTTTCTTCACTTTTCCTCCAAGCAAAAAGCATTATGAATTCCTGAAAACCTTTCCTATACTTTTAGTTGCAATCTATCTGTAATTCCTACCTAAAGGAAAATTGTTATTCAATTGAGCTATAGCTATTGTGCCTCTATTTTATAATCCAACTTTCAGCCTTTTTTTCCTGCTTCTGAATCTTCTTTCTTATTTATTATCACTTCATGTCAGAAGGGCTCTTCTCACATCTAAAAAATAATATTTAGAAATAGCATCTCCATCTTATTGACACTGCTCTGCATTCTAGCATGGATTCACACGCTATTTATTTGGTAAGGAGGGCCTTAGATTTTTTTTATTGAAAAGGATTCAATGAGAAATAACTTGCCTGGTGAGGTTGCCTTTAGAAACTACATTTTTAAACACACTTAAGACAAAAATCTGTAAGAGTGATTTATCTTGTTCATTTACTTTAGATGTAGTTGATAAATGCTATCGAGGAGAAGCGTGTAGAGAAAGCAAGAAGGGGGGGAAAGGCAGTATTTTAATGATAAAACACTTTTGGAACAGATTTTCTAATACCATGACATTTATTACCTCTCCAAAACACTGGGAAATCTGAGTTGCAGATGTCCTTGTTTCTTTGCTAGAATGAATGATGCTACAACTGAGGGAGGAAACAGCCCATCTAAGACCTTGACTAATCTTTACCTTGTTCATGGCAATTTTGGTAAAAGTAAAGAAATTCTAAGAGGAAGTATGAAACTGCTGAAAATTTGATCATACCCTTAAATCCAAACAAAGCACTATTATTGTTTAGAGAGCACCTAACCAGTTTTATCCCCACAGGAATTTTACCAGTGCACTTTTAACCTCCAGAAAAGCTATTCAGAATTATCTGTAACAATTCTTTTTTATTTTAACTTCTTGTTTAGGCTCACACTTCCAAGCTAAACAGGCTTAAACAAATTACTTAGAATAAATAAAGGTTGCTAGATGGTCCACAGAGAAAGCATGTTGCACAAACATCGAAATGAAATTATGGTAAAGGAGTGTGTGTGTAAAATTGCATCTAATGCCATAATAGTGACTTAAACATAAAAAAATATTATGTAGACCATAAGCCAGTCAGATTATCCAGTCAGACTGAGATTAGAATCAAATTAAAAGAACAAAATCCTCTCAAAACTGAAAAACAAAAAAATCCCCCCCAAAAACCCAACCCAAATCCAAAACCAAAAAACCAAACTCAAAAACCCAATCCAAACCAAAACCATTCCCACAAAAAAACTCCAATAAAATCCCACTTCAGACCCTTTCCACATTCTGGAGCAACAAAGGAGTCATTGTGACACATCCAAGAGGAAAACTAATCCTCAGGCAGAACAGGACATGCCAAAATAAGGCTCTTCAAAAAGCCAGGTGGAGTACTGAAAAAGAGTGCAATACTAGATCCAAATCCACAGTTTAAAATGAAAGAGCAAGGACTTGACAGATAATTATTTAAGACCTTTGGAAGTTAATGTCAATTTTCCACTTTTTCAATGGGAATGAAAAGAGATCACATCTCCTTTGCTAGCAGATAGTACTCCAGTGATTGTAACAAATATACAATCAAAAAAAGCCATATATAAAGGATATAGCAATGCACCATTGAAGACACAGCATAATGAACTACCATCATTATTGACCCAAATGAAAGTAACTACATGAGAGTCAGTAATTACACTTATTTTAAATGAAATAGCCATCAATACTCAAAAGCATACATGGAGTCTTTCTGACAGGAAGCAGAGGCTTGATGTATACTACAGTCCAGAGGCTGAAGATTCAGTTCTTTCACTGTGTTAGTATATATTTCCTAGAAAACCTCTTCTCCAAATCTCATTAATTCACAACTATGAAAAATTATCTTATGAGGAAGTCACATTCAAGTGGCTCCTCTTCATTATACATTTGTATTTTTAAGATACGTAAACTTCCATAGTTAGAGAGATGATCTGTGTTAGGAATGAACTATTTGCAATAGGTTAGAACAAAGTAGAATTGATTTATGTCACCTAACCTAACTGTTGAAGCAGAAAAGTTAACAAGTTTTTTTTTATGTAGGTAAACATGGGATTAGGGAGCAGAAGTGGTTTTATTGTCCAAAGAAGCAACATATATGCTTAAGAAAAATTTCTAAAGAGATAATACTGCCTGCTGAATCTTGCAGTTGAACTGTTCTATGTCCCTTTGCTAGTCTCCCTTTTAACAGGAAATTAAAACAACAGGACATTTTAATTATCTCCACAACAAACAGGAATCTTTGTTATAAGTCCTCTACACTGTTGAGAGATTACCGGCTACTTAGGGTTTTCAAATGTCTACACAGACGCCATGCTGGGAACAGGATGTGCATTTTTCTCTGACTGAGGAATTGTATTTGTAGTTTCCATTTTTTAGATTAAAAATGTTGTAAACTGCCATTTTCAAATTTGTCTTGTGTAGGCATAAAAAGGCTGACTAACTATGCGTTTATTTTCATTCATTCTCAACCACTACCTGCACTTATTCAAATAACATTAAGTACAGATCTCAAACTTTCACTGAACAGAAGGTCAAAACAAATGTATAAAAAGTTTGTAGTAGGCGAAAAGGTAGGGTCAAGACATAGAAAAAAAGATAATTAAAAACTGCAATACCATAGACTTCACAGTATTTTCCTATTATATCTTAAGTGCCTAAATTTAGCCTCATGGGACCAAGACTTAGGCAAACATGATGTCATTATATGGTTATATCATAATTTTTGTTTGTGAGACTCAAACCCTATCATCACTGAAGTAGATACATCCCTACATGCCAGAATGAGGAAAATAAAAGCACACCAACGTAACTCCACTGATACTGATGCTGCCGTTTTGAAAAGCACTGAACTGGTTTAATTTGTTTCTCATCTGTGAAGACTCATGACAAAATTAGAATTTAGAATAATACAATGAGAACCATGCAAATGTGAGAGTACCAGACATAATGAGAGCAAGCTTAAAGCATCAATAGTGAGGGAACATGAATGACATCAGCAAAACAGATCAGTACTGAAGAAGGGGATTTCAATGTTAAGATCACTGTACAGATGATGAGTCAGCAGCATTCTGATAGCAAAATGGCAACCAGTTCATCACGCACTCCGTATGCCATTTCTCTTTCTGTTATTTGAATGAGCAGAGTAAAATAGGATAGCTGTAATAAGTAAACAAAAAGGGTATTTGACTAATGTTCCTGTAGACTAAAGCCACCAAGATTTCATGTTAAAATATCATGCCATATCAACTTCTCACTCCTACAAAGTGTAAAATACCTAGGCAAAACGCCACTTCATCATTGCCGATCAACACAAAAATAGGAGAGATCTCATCAGGTGACATCAGTTACCCTATGACATGCCAGAAATCCTGTTCAGACTATTTGAACATGAACTAGTATTTGTATGTTTGTGGCTATGAGATTGTGAGCTGGCACACTTTACCAACATAAAAAATTAAGCAACATAAAAATTACATTCCTCTTCTATATAGTCTTACATTACAGTTTTCTTACATATTTCTTACACAATAGAATTTATTTGAGAACTAAGGAGTATCTACTTGTTCAGCTTTGCACACCTCAGTCTGGAGTCAGAGTTCACCTACAATGGCTGACAATGAAAGCAATACTTCTGGAATCCAGGCACTTACATACAACTTTATTTCAGTGCCACCTCATGTTCCACTCATCACATGAACAGCCATGAAATTTTAGAATTATTTAGAGCTGCTCTTCTTTAAACCTGGAGTGACTTTATAAACATATCTCAATGTTATGCTACATTTCTTCTATCTCGGTGAAGGGCAGGGTGAATGTCATCATGGCTAGGCTTCACGAACGAAGATTTGGGAAGGCTCTATTCACGTTTGCTACAGGCATGCTGGTGGCTTATGAGGCCAATATGTGACAGACATATCCGATTGCAAAAGGCACAGCAGAAAGACTCCTTAGATGGTGTATTCTGCAATACACGGTTCTTTCTGCGTTGCCTTTTTTCCTTGAGAGTGATCCTGCGTGTGTTCTCAAAGGAGACAACTGCGTTATAGATGGTGTGTCTCCAGGCCTCCCGATTGGAGGCCAGAGTAGACCAGTTATGGTGATCAATATGGTCAAGGCTGAGATGTTGTTTCAGGGAGTCCTTGAATCTTCTCTTCGGGGCTCCTCTCATGCGGCAGTCAGTGGCAAGTTCACCGTAAAGCAAGATTTTAGGGAGGCGGTGGTCCTTCATCCTTGAGACGTGCCCTGTCCATCGCAGCTGTGTTGTCCTCAACATGGCCTCAATACTTGTGACAGCTGCTTGCTCTAGAACAGATGTGTTGGTCACATAATCTGACCAGTGGATGTTTAGGATTGTACGGAGGCAGCGTTGATGGAAGCGTTCTAGGAGTCGCAGGTGGTGGCAGTAGATGACCCATGATTCAGATCCGTATAGGAGAGCAGACAGCACTGTGGCTCTGGAAACACTGATCTTGGTACTTTTCTTCAAGTGTTTATTACGCCATACTCTTTTGTGGAGTTTTCCAAAAGCACTGTATGCCTTTGCTAACCTGTTGTCTATCTCTCCGTCGATCTTACCATCTGAGGAGATGAGGCTACCTAGGTAATTAAACTGTTGGACTGATTTAACCTCTGATTGGCCAATGGTGATGTGGGGATGATGGGGGACTTCCTGAGGTGCAGGTTGATGGAGGACCTCTGTCTTCTTTAAGCTGACTTCCAGCCCAAAGAGCTCAGCAGCATCTGCAAAGCAGGATGTTAAACGCTGCAGAGCTGCTTCTATGTGGGCAACAAGGGCGGCGTCATCAGCATAAAGCAGCTCCCGGACAAGATGGTTTAAGGTCTTGGTGTGGGCCTTCAGTCGCCTTAGGTTGATTAGACTTCCATCAGTACGGTATCGAATGTAGATACCGTCCTGATCATCGAGGTCTGCTGTGGCCCTTTGGAGCATCACGCTAAAGAAGACAGTGAATAGGGTAGGAGCGAGAACGCAGCCTTGTTTCACACCATTCTTAATTAAAAAGGGCTCAGAAAGTGTGTTGCCATATCTGACTTGGCCGTGTTGATCCTCATGGAGTGAGATGATCATTTTAAGGAACTTGGGGGGACAACCTAAACGTTCCAAAATCTGCCACAGACCTTTTCTGCTCACAGTGTCAAAAGCCTTGGTGAGGTCGACAAAGGTTACATAGAGACCTTTGTTCTGTTCCCTACACTTCTCTTGCAGTTGTCTGAGGACAAATACCATGTCTGTGGTGCTCCTGTTGGCTCTGAAACCTGACTTTCAGGAAGGATACCTTCTGCTATAGTGGGTATTAGTCTGTTCAAGAGTATTCTTGCCAGGATTTTGCCAGCAATGGAGAGCAGAGTAATACCACGATAGTTTGAGCAATCTGATTTAATACCTTTCTTCTTATACAAAGTGATGATGACTGCATCATGAAGGTCTGAAGGGTGAATGTATACTACTAGTATTTAGGCAACACAGAATTATTTTTTTTTTCCTGCACAAAAGTGATTCAGAAGAGAAGTACAAGCGTCTGTATATTACAGCAGATGATTTTCATTTGTTGGGTAATATTACTTTACTAAAAATCAATTCTAGAAATGCTGAAGCATGATTCACCCACAGAATCATTTGTCTTGCTTCATTACACAGAACAAAATCTGTCCCTTTGCCATCTCAAAGAATCATCTCTTACTGGCACTTTACAGTATGCTCTTAAGACTATTTTGAAAAGTATGAATGCCTGAGATAGTCACAACAAATAATCTCTATGCTACAAATATACAAATACCCATAAGCAACCATCTTAATGTTGTTTCTTGCCAGAGAGAAGAATTTCACAACATTCATACAAGGAGGCACAAAGAATAAGAACAATACTGCAATGGATAACTTTCTAGTACTTTATACCTTGTACAAGTACTTGTTTCTCACCAGAAAGAATAAATAAAATCAAGAAAAATGCAGAATAATGAAAAAAAGAACACAGGTTGAACACCCATCAGATAACAATCATATGCTAAGTTATTAAGAAGAGCTGCAGACAGTGACAAGCAAGAAGGATAAGAAACATACAAATATGTACACTCTCTGGTAAAATAAGTAAACATTAAGTTTTTGCTGTAAGTCATTTGAATAATCCCTTACATGCAGCATAGAACTGGTATACAGAAAAATGGGAAAAAAGTTTGCTTTTTCTTTTTTGACAGTCTTAAACTTGAGAGGAAAGTATTACTTTGGCCAGATTCTGAAGTGGATACTATCTATCAAGTATTTTGTCATTAAAAGCAGTGTATAAGCAACCATCTTAATATTGCTTAACATACTAATAACTACTAATGTCACCTTTCAACTTCTAGCAGCTCATTTTACTGAGGGAACTCTAACCTGTTTAATATAAAAGAAAAAGCTACTCTTTATATTATTTCAACAACAGATATCATTACTAATCAGTGAGACAGAGCATCTTCATAAAAACTACATAGAAGGAAGACACCATTTTTGTCCCAACTATCCAGACATATTATGATTATTCTTTTTTTTAACATAATGCACTTATTCTCTAAATGTTTAACTATGTTTCATTAATTTTTTGTAATTCCTAGTCACAGTAAGCTTTAAAGCATAGGAAGTACAGCTCTATTGGTTTTGCATGGTAAGGTTTTGGTAACAGGGGGCCTACAAGAGTGGCTACTCTGAGAAGCTGCTAGAAACCTCCCCCATTTCAGTTAGAGCCAATGTCAGCCAGCTCCAAAATGGACCCACCACTGGCCAAGGCCGATCCAATCAGCAACAGTGGTAGTGCCTGCAGGATAACATATTTAAGAAGGAGAGGGGAAAACTGCACAGCATCAGCAGCCAGAGGAGATGGGAGTGCATCCCGTGGAAGGGACCCACAGTGAGGCAGTTCGTGAAGAACTTCAGCCCATGGGAAGGAATTGGAGAAGTGTGTGGAGGACTGTCTCCTGCAGGAGGGACCTCACACTGGAGTAGAAGAATGTGAGGACTCCTCTCCCTGAGGAGGAAGGAGAGGTAGAGACAACATATGAGCACAGTCTGCGCTCCCTGTCCCCCTATGCTGCTGAGGGGATTAGGTACAGAATTTGGGAGCAAAGTGATCCTGGGTAGAAGGGAAGGGTGGGGGAAGGTGTTTTAAGATTTGGTTTTACTTCTCATTGCCTTGTTCTGAATTCTAATTGGCAAAAAATTAAATTAATTTTTCTGAGTTAAGTCTGTTTTGCCTGTGTGCCTGAGTGATCTCTCTATATCCTTATTTTCAGCATTAAGTCTTCCATTATATTTTCTCTTCCCTGCCCAGATGGGGAAGGGCAGTGATGGAGCACCTTTGGTGGGCACTTGGTGTACATCTAGGGTCAACCCACCACAACAGCACAAATCTGTGAACATTTATGGCCTTCAAAAAAAACCCACAAAACCTCTCATGTGTTGTGATGATAGATTTAATATTAAATTATTATAATTATGTTTTTTTGTTCTGCTTTTCTTACACTGCTAGTATAACGCAGAAGCCAGGAAGTCTCAAAGCAAGGCAAAAACGGTTTATGAATTTCACTTAGGGAGAAATACCAGTGATAAAAAATAACCATTCATGTTGGGCAAAACCAGTTTTGATATCACCTTCCACATACAGGTGCATGGGATATGCTTGCTTCTGCATAAAGTTGCAGGACAAATCTCTGTTAGGTATCTAGCACAATTTCTTTTAAATTAAAGCTACTACTATTTCAATCAGAGATAGAAATCATGTAACAGATCATTACATGGTTTGTTCACTACTGTCCATTTCATAGCAGAAAAATCTATCTGATTACCTAACTGAATGATGTCCAGAAGTATAGTCCAATTTCCCAAACTTCTGTGTGTGGTAGCCATTCTGCTCCATGAGATCCATCCATGTTACGTAATCTGGATCTAGACCTTTGAAGTTATTCCAAGATTCTGTTAAATGGGTAAAAAGACCACTCCACATAGCTGGGGGAAAAAAATAAAATTTTGATGAGTAATTGGTACCCCCTACCTGTATACTTGAGGAGGGATTAATCTTCTCATTATTACAGAGGTTAGAAGTCCACATTGTGATCCAATAGAGCAAGAAATACAAAGTATTACTCTTTCAAATCTTGTCATAATCAATATAAGTAACAAAATTTACTCAAATAATCCCCAGAATTGCAAAAGAAGGTCCCATCCTTCCAGGTGCTAAGCAATCACTAAGTCAAGGTTTTCTTAGACCAGAAAATATTCTTATTGATTTCTGAAAGAAAATGGCATGGTAGTACAGATCCCCATCCAACAGTCCTCTACTTACATGTTTTTCAGAGTATTATTTCCCCTTACTACAGTTAGATTTTAATATGATTTTAGGTATATTTGTGAAGGGAATGAGAATATAATGTTTTCATAAATACCATATGCCCTCAATTTTATCCTTTTTAGGTAATGTACTTCACTACCAGCTGCAGAAACAAAGTGAGAATATTTAAGACACCAAGAAGAAATGAAACCAAGGGAAGAGTTGCAAAGGAACTATAACGGAAGATTGTTTTAGTCAATACCTATTTCTTTGCTACTTATTGAGAATTGTTCACTCTTTCACTCACTAATTTAGAGTTAAAGGGAATCCTAAAATGAAACTAAGTCATTCCACAAGCAATAAAAATATCCTGTAAGCATAGTGCATCAACCCCACATGGCAATACTCCTCTTTCCCCACCCCAAAATCCTCTTTCTCACCATGTCTTCTGGTATCATCCCCAACACCTCCATATGAGATGTACCCTCACTTCCTTGCAGCTTTTTGTAAGCCACTGGCTAAACAAAAGCTGTCCTGCTGGTTCAGAGTCCCACATGTGATGACTGACCAGTGGCCACAGCCACCCAAAATGCTACACAGTCTTCATCACTGGGAGCAATAGCTGCCATATTCACAAAACTTGATAAGATTAAATAACACAAAGCTATTACTCTCAGCAACAAAAATTGGCTGAAAGATACAAAAATCAAGAAAAAGAAAAAAAGACTGTTCATGTAACCTCGCCCACTTAAAATGGGACCTTGAGAAAAAGGTTATCAATAAAGTGAATACTAAAAATGTAAAACTATATTTGACAGCCGTTGCCTGCTGTCTCATCCAGTGTATGCTTTGAGAGAAAGGATCCCCCTCACAGCTACAGATGAGGGATGGTCTTTGCAACTGAAAGGACTAGACACATTTTAAGATTGAGGAATACAGTTTCTTTCTATCTTCCCAGCAAATTCTGCAACTAAAATTGAACAAAGAAAAACAAGTGCATTAAGTAAAGAAAAATCATGAAGAATTCAATTAAAGCTACTGAAAGATACATCATGTATCTGAAAGTGTGTTTGGAATAAATGTCATTGGAAGACAGTGATAACAGCCATCACTTTATTCAGCTATCATTATTACTTTTTGCCAAGAACAGGAAAGATATTAACTTTTTATTGGAATGGGAGAGTAGTTCTGAGTGTAGTTTCAGCATTGCAGCAGACAAATCAATGATTTCGCTACAAATCCTGAAGATTTGTTCAGCCTGGAGAAGAGGAGGCTTAGAGGAGACCTCATCACTCTCTACAACTCCTGAAAGGAGGTTGTAGCCAGGTGGGTATCAGTCTCTTCTCCCAGGCAACCAGCAGTAAGACAAGAGGGCATGGTCTTAAACTGTGCCAGGGGAGGTTTAGGTTGGATATTAGGAAGAAATTTTTTACAGAGAGAGTAATCAGACATTGGAATGGGCTGCCCAGGGAGGTGGTGGATTCTCCGTCCCTGGAGGTTTTTAAGATGAGACTGGATGTGGCACTTAGTGCCATGGTCTAGTAATCGCAGTGGTGTTGGATCAAGGGTTGGACTTGATGATCTCAGAGGTCTTTTCCAACCTGTCTATGATTCTACGATTTTTTAAAAATCTGAAGCTTCAGTGGAGTTTGCGAAAAGATTTGGAAGCTTACACTTACCTGAAAAAAACAGTACAAAAAATGAAAAGAAAGGAGGAAGCATAAGAAACAGGAAAGAGAAACAGATGAAACAGGAGAATACTGTAAAAATTCAGACACAAACTAGAAAAAAAAAGGAAAAACAAAACAAGTCCCCCTCAATTAAAAGCTTTGACATTTCCCATCATTACCATATATTTAAATTGACATGTGGAAGCATTTATCTGATGTTTTGCTTGCTTTTACCTGCACGCGAAGGACAACAAATTGGAGAATTGGTATAGGCATTGAGAAAGACAGCACCATATCTTTTCATAAAATTTACGGATGGTAAATCCACAGTCTGATTTCCTGGAAAAAATGTCAAGCGTCCATCCTGCAATCAAACAGAGAAAAACAACATATAAACAACCATTACCACAAACTATTGGCTGCATTAATTCATAGATTTGTTACTGTAGTGGGTTTCTGTGGCTCGACTTTGGTACTGGGGGGGGGATACAGGGGTGGCTTCTGTTGGAAGCTGCTAGAAGTTTCCCCTGTCCCATGGAGCCAATGTCAGCCTGCTCCAGGATGGGCTTCCTTCCGCTGGCCAAGGCCAAGCCAATTAGGACTGATAGTAACACCTCTGTGATAACATAGTTAAGAACAGAAGGTTGTTGCACAGGAAGAATTCCAGCCAGGGAAGAGCTGAGTGAGAACATGTGAACAACAAAGTAGACACCAAGGTCAGTGCAGAAGGAGGGGCAGGAGGTGCTCCAGGCGCCAGAGCTGAGGCCCCTGCAGCCCGTGGTGCAGACCATGGTGGAGCAGCTGTGCCCCTGCAGCTCATGGAGGACCATCAGGGTGCAGAGACCCACCTGCAGCCCCTGGAGGAGCCCATGCTGGAGCAGGTGGATGCATGAAGGAGGCTGTGACCCTGTGGGAGGCCCAGGATGGAGCAGGGTCCTGCCTGAGACCTGCAGCCCGTGGAGAGGGAAGCCCACGCTGGAGCAGGTTTTTCCTGGGTAGGACTTGTGGCCCCTGTGGGGGACCCATGTCAGTGCAGCTCATTGGTGAAGGACTGCACCCCATGGAGGAGTGACCCACGGGACAGCAGTTTGGGAAGAACTGCTGCCTGAGGGACGGACTCACTCTGGAAAGACCCATCAAGGACTGCCTCCTGTGGGAGGGACCCCACAGGAGCAAGGGAAGGACTCCTGTCTCTGAGCAGTGGCAGAAACAATTGACCATAACCCCCATTCCTCGTCTCCCTGCACTGCTGGGGGGGAGGGAGAACATGGAATGAAGGAGGGGTGGGGGGAAGATGTTTTTAAGATTGTTTTATTTCTCACTCTTTGGCTCTTACCCTGTTAGTAATAAATTTAGGTAATACCCCCACTTTGAGCCTGTTTTGCCCGTGAAGGTAATCAGTATCTGATCTCTCCCAACTGTTATCTCAACTTATGAATCCTTAGCTGGTTTTTTTCTCTCTCTCTCCTCTGTCCAGTTGCAAAGGGAGAGTGAGAGAGTGGCTTTAGTGGGTACCTGGCATCCAGGTACCTGGCTAGAGTCAACCCACTAGTTACCCTGAACTTGCTTAAATGCTGCCATTTCTACTCAGGTATGAAAAATATTGTTGAGAAGCTTTAATTAGATCAATATAAAATGGATTACTTATGAAAAAGTGCAACATAAAAGATAACTGGGCTTCTTCATAATAAAATTAATTCCTTTCCATCACTATACATTTTCTAAGCTCTAGTTTTAGGGAGTAGGGTCCTACGATGACACATTCAATGGGAATAGGTACAGTGAAAGACGACAAGGAGTCAAGCTGAATCCTAACACAGATATGTGCACTAGTATATATTTCTATGAAACCACCCCTGATCCCTCATCATTTTTAAAGGTCTATCCACAGCACAACTCCAAACTTATTTTAACCTACATACTGGAAAAGTACTGAGAAAGCTGAAGAAAGGCTATTCTCCCACTGAAATGCCATGCACAGTGGTTCCCTTTTGATACTTGCATATTGATAATTTAATTTTTGGCTTTTGTTTGGATAAAGTTTTTAATCAGTAATTTTAAAAAGACAAACCATTTCAAATAGGTACTTTTACAGAAAAAAGTTGTAATCACTTGAAACCAGGTTGCATGCAGACTGCTCTATTTCAGGTCATTGTTTTTTCCAGTCACTTTTATTCCTTTCCTTTCCAGTCACTTTATTTCCTTTCCTTTCCTATCCTGGTTCAGTAAGATGTCCCAACACAGTCCAAGCCTGACTGGCTCTTCAGTGTACAGGCAGGTGACAGCGAATCTGCATAGTTTTAACTGCAGAAGAAAGCAATTCCCTCCATACATTTTCTGGCAGAAATACTCTGGGATAACATGGCATAGTAGAGAGAGTCACTTCATTTGGCATCAGTAGAGCTAACTGTGGCACCCCAGCCTCTGAAATCAGAACACAACAAACAAGTCATCACCTAATTTTATACACTACTACAAAAGGCAACTAGAACAAGCACTCAGTAGGACAAACTGGAAGTAAAGCTGTAATCTGCAACAGGAACTTGAAAGAAATTTTGGGCTGAAAATGCTCTTCAGAAAGTTGTCCTGGTTCCAGCCAGGACAGGGCTAATTTTTGCCGGAAGGGGCATGGCTAGGACATGGAGGTTATTTTATATTACCTCATGTCATTTTCTGAAAAGGTGTCCCTTCTGGGTGAGGGTAGCATGGTAGCAGTATTGTTGGGCTCCAGTATTGTCAGGCTCTGAATGGTCCAGGGGTGAGCATTCACATGTGAATCGCGCTCGCCTCTCTTGTACTGTCTCTTACTAATACTGTTGCTGTTCCTTATCTCACTGCTGTTTCCAGTAAATTGTTCTTATCTCAACCCGTGATGTTTACCTTTTGTGCCTCCACTTCTCCTCTCCAGCCCACCACAGGGGAGGGTGAGAGAGAAGGCAGAGTGAGCAAGCAGCATGTGGTTTGCAGTGCATACCATTCCTAAACTGTGACAAAAGTACACAACTGATGCATAATCCCGTCAACAATATATTCTTAAGTTTCTTCAACGGTTTGCACAGCTGGAGATAAGAGTTCATTATATTGATACTGTGACACAATATTCAGTGAGACATTAGCAAAAGAATTCCGTATACTTTGTGTCATGGTATACTTCCTATACTGAGACATGATGACTGTTTCTATAGGTGATGCAGGTATTCAGTGAAAGTTCTGTTCTTGAACAGGCTGAGAAGCTCAACAGCTATTTCTGGAAACTTGTCCTCTAAGAATTATGTAAAATTTGCAGGTTTTGACATACCTAAGGAAATAAAATTGTTTTAACACAAACAAGCACATTTAATCCAGGAACTTGAGCAGCATTGCAAGCAAAGCCTCACATCATCCAGTTTACTTCAAGTAGCAATTCAGGAGCCGAATTGCTAGCACATTCCTCCAGGAAACGTGCAAAAAGCACAATGCCTGATGTGACACAGCAGCAGAAAGCTGGCTGTTCAAGTAAAAGGTCACTGTTCAGGAGGCCAAACACAGTCTAGCATCACTGAAGAGAAAATTTTTGTCACACTTGACAACATAGGTGTGCATCTTTCATAGGCAGCATGACCCACAACAAAAGCAGGCACACTTTCTAATGAAAGCCCAGACATTTCAACAGCTTGCAAGCCTTAACCTCTTTTTTCCAGAAAAACTGTTAGTTTCAACAGTACGTGTTCTCTACTAGTGATGTAATGAAAATGGTTAATCTATTTCTGCCTTCAAACCCATCTCAGAAAAAAAACTTACACAACACAACCTTTAACATATTCTTTGTATGCACCATGTAGACATGACGCTTTTCAAAAACAGCACTTTGTTCTTGATCGTTTATGTAAGAATTTCAAAACATCTGGGATTTTACATTTCTTTTTTGTAAGGTTTACCTCATTAATCCCTGTAATATAGTCATGAAAATATTCCTGTTTACAGGTGACATAGAGAAGTATAACTAAGACTTGTCTGCAGCTTCTGCTAGTATCTGGAGACAAAATAAAAGCCGAACATTTGGAGAAAAAGCATGCCTTACTTTGCAATTTTAAGAGAGATTATATACTCAAAATAAAATAAACAAAGAATACAGTCAAAGAAAGTCTATACAGAGCTATTGCATTAGTAAACAAGAAGCTGTTTCTTTATCTTTGAAATCACAGTGTATGTCTTTTAAGATAGGGTTTGAAAAAAGATAATACACATTTACCAAATATTTAGGAAGAATTCATCCCAAGAAGCTCAGGCAGCAAGCAAGAAGTCAAGTGTTCTGTGTAGTCAAGGATGGAATTCTGAGGCGGCCAGGAATCAAGACTTCTCAACAGTGAATGAGAAGTGATCAGATATGAAAGCCCTTGGAAGTAATACCACAGAGCTTATGTTTGATTCCATAGTAAGGAGAGCTCATATGAGGTAGAGAAACCAAGGCTCCTCAGAGTAAAACCTACATCAAAGCACTTCCAGTGTGCTGGGTGGACAATTAGAAGCATGGTGAGAAAAGTGTGAAAATTGTGCTGTCTTTAGGTGTGTCCAAGGAAACATACTCAGTATTAGTGGAAAAAATAAAAAGTCTTTTCTACCTGTCTGGGTGTTAAACCAAATGCATCAATAAATCACTGTAATGAAGTCACTAGATACCTACTGATTCCTCTATTCTTTTAGCTGTAGATACACATCTGACAAGTTTATTGTGTTGTTATACCTTATAAGGCATAAACCAACAGTAAACCAACAGTCAGTCATTTCATCTGTGAATACAGAAATTCTCTATCCCATCTCTTGAGGAGACCTAGTGTTCTTATGATTTACAATAGCAAGGATAACAGGGTTTAAAGTGACTTTCTTTTCGGCTTTTCAAGTCAACAGAAGAGCATTCACTTTACACACCAGCTCTGCTCCAGTAGCAGCTGCCGTGCCCTGCAGTACTGCTGACATGCCCCTCTCTACCCCAAGTTGTGGTGACAAGCTGTACGTATCATACTAGATCGGAGGAACCACCTGTGCAGAGGTTTCTGACTATTGTAATGAATCAGATGCAAGCATGGAACACATTCCTGGAAGAAAGGCGAGTTTGGTTTGAAGCACTGAAGGTTACCGAGTGTCTCTGAGACACAGCAGGCCTGCCCTTGTAGTCCAAAGCGAGACTTCCGCCCCGCGGAGGTGCTGGAGAGCTAAAACCAGCCTTGTTGGCGCACGCCTGTGGCTCTAGCCTGGATAAGGCACCGGTGTGGCCTCGTTGCCGCATCCTCGGCGGCACCACTCGGGCCACTGCCGAGTGTTTTCCCGCCCTTCCTCACCCGTGCGGCGGCCCAGCCCCGCGCCGCCGGGCTGCCCCCCTTCCCAGCCACTCACCAAGGAGTCGCAGGCCACCAGCACCACGCTGGACCGGGGCTGGCCCCCAGGAGCGGCGGGCCGCGGCCTCGCCCCCGCCCCGGCGGCCATGAGGAGCAGCGCCAGCCCGGCTCGCCCCAGTGGCTCTCCGCCCCGCATTGCCCCGCCACCCTGGCCCCCGCTCCCGGACCGAGAGGAGCAGCAGCTCCGAAAGCAGCTCCCAGGGCCCCGGTCGCAGCGAAGGACTGGTCACCGCCGCACCGCGGCCTACAACTCCCACGGTGCCCCGGGGCGGAGGACTGACTACGTCTCCCAGGGTGCCTCACGAGGCGGGAACTATATCTCCCACAGTGCCCGGAAAAAATGGCGGTTGATGGGTGTATCGCAATCCTGAGGTAAGAGTGCGCCTGCGCGCGGTCGGCCGTGCCAAGTGGCGGAGGCGCTGGTGGGTGGAGGTGAAGCGGAGGGGTGGCGAAGGGTCGTGGTGGCGGTGGTGGCGGCCCGGCTTAGACTGTCGCGGCTTTCCCTGCCGCGAGGGCTGGCGGCCCGGCCTGCGGCGGGCGAGCAGCTGCGCTCGGAGGGACTGCGGCGCGGATCGCTTCCCAAGGCGCCCCGCAGGCCCAGGGCCCCGCCCGCGGCCCAGGTTGGGCGGCCTTGCTCCAGGGACTGACCGCCTCCGCGGTGCCAGGCTTTCCGCTGAAGCGACGTGTATTTTCTCCGTAGGTGGCAGTGGGGCTCCTGCTGGACAGTGCCCGCGGCAGGGTGCGGTTTTGATGAGCGAGACGTCAGTGCCTTCATAAAAGCAAATTTATCTCCAGGAGCTGCTGAGCAATGCAAGTTCAACAGGTTTCTTTTTAGGTTTTAAAGGAGTCTTGGAAATTCGCTCTCATCCCATGTCCTTTCATTACTAAATTAACACTGGGCCCTTCAACCATTCTTTATTTCTGCTTTTCAGCTGCTAAAAAAGTTTTTTTGTTCTTCATCTGGTCACCTTTCCCATCTCTTTTGGTGCTAGCACCAGCGCTGTTGTTTCTCAGCATCCTCCCATCTAGGCAGCTTTGACTGTGGTGTTTCTAAAGTTTATTTAAGGCAAAATATTTACCACGTACACTGAAACAGTGCATGATTATTGGAGTTCAAAAGCATGATGTCTCTTTGATGTGTCCTGAAATACTTATTCTTTTTCAATTCACGGCTGTAGTCAGAAGCAGAACCTGGAGTAAGAGTGTGTCAAGGGAGAGGACCATGGTGAGCCACACCAGAGCGTGACAGGCTGGCCATAGTGCTGCTGTAGAGAGCATGGAAGAAAAGCCCTGCCTTTATCCTTAGCAATCCTTTAAACACATATGCAGGGCAATATGCTGCTTAAGTGCAGTTTGCTGATTACTTTCTTTTATAAACAGGAATTACTATATGCAGGATGTTTTTCTCATAAGTCTAATGAAGGCCTCTTATAACACCTCTCCTCCTACTTAAAGTTATCTTAACGTGGAACAAAAGTTTCATTCTGGGGTAACTACTTTGTATCATTTAACTGTTTGGAATATTGAGGGTATCCTGTCTTGGAGCTAAACCTGAGTAATTTTACCCATGTTACCTTTATTTATCATGTGTTAGCACTGTATGCATTTTAGCATATTACACTATATTTCTGTGTTTAAAATGCTCTCTGTGCAATTGCAGTAGGATATAAACATTTTGTATGTGTCAGTATATCTTTTTACGAGAACTGATTATATGCCTTTTTTATTTAGCAGCCACAATGTCAAATAAAGAGGTGAAAGCAGCATTAAAGAGTGCTAGAGATGCAATACGAAATAAAGAATATAAGGAAGCCTTAAAACATTGCAAGGTAATGAATTTTTTTACTCGGAAGGTAAATATTTTGTAGGGGTTTTTTTCTCTTCCCATATCCCTGCAGCTGTATGGTCCTGCTAAGCGTGGAGTACTTTATTGATATAACATTTGAGATGGATTTTCAGATTTAACTTCATTGATCATTTGTGTTGGTTTCCCATGCATAAACTTTAATTCCTCTTCCTTTTGCATTTGCTTACATGTGGTGATAAGAGTATTAAATCTAGAATGAGAGAAATAGAAATCAGTTTGTAATCCAGACCTCACAAGAGTGCTTGAATTGCTAAGCTACAGATATGGTTACTAGCAAAACACTTCAGATATAAAGCATTTTCTGGCATAAAAAGATGAAGTTACTAATCTGAGTGTCCTCCTAAAAATTACTTAACTTCTAGGATTGCCCTTTAGAATAATTCTCCAAACTGTAGTGATAAAATGCAATATCTGGATCTATAAGTTACATTTCTCTCATCACTTTCACTTAAAATTGTGTAACTCTAGGCAGTCTTGAAGCAAGAAAAAAATAATTACAATGCTTGGGTATTCATTGGCCTGGCAGCTGCTGAGTTAGAGCAACCTGATCAGGCCAAAGGAGCATATAAGAAGGCTATTGAACTTGAACCAAACCAGTTACTGGCATGGCAGGTACGTGAATGTCTATTTTTTATTTCCCTAAGAAGTGTCACTATGGAGTTAAAATAAAGGAACAAATCAGAGTTAAGACTTCTGTATTCTTTTCTTGAGGCCCTCAGTTCCACAGAAGCTTTGGAGTAGCTGAAGTTCGTATTACTTGTGTGTGCAATGTAAAGCCATGGTGAACTAGTTTCAGTATATTTGAGTTTGTATTTCTTGTGTAGACTACATAGCTGTGAAACATGTAAGGGAAAACATGAATTGAAACAAATACAGTAAATTTGTTGATGTAAAAATTTCCTTGCTTGTAGCTCAAGAAACCTGTGACAGTGCTCCTCTTATAGGAGATAAAATGTTTTATCTAGTAACATAGTTTTCCACTTTTCAGCATCAAGTGGATTGTTAATGAATTTTGTTGATACTTAAAAGCAGAAGTGTATGTTTAAAATAGCTATGTACTGGGTGGTGTGTACATTACAGCCTATTACAATATAGAGTTACAACATACAGTTGTGTAATTTGGAGATTTGTGAAGCATAATGTTGCATATTGAGTCTATTGCTTATATCAACAATCAATGTTTTTCTAAGGTAATCAGGTTCTTAGTATTTTCAGTATAAATACTATTTTAAAGTATAATTGTTGGGGCCAGAATTCAGTGTATGTTGAAATTTCCTCACTTTTGCAGTCAGGTTCTGGCTTTCTTGTTACAATACTTGGGTGTATATATATATATATAATATTTTTTGCATATTATATCGATTTTATCATACAACCAAGTGTACTTTGCATATTACCTATTTTGCAGACAAGATCATGTAATATATGTAAGTTCCAAAGAGTTGTTGGTATTAATTAAGAAAGTGAGGAAAGCTTTTCACTTAATGTGAGTAGAATTCAGAAGGTTATGCAGAATTCTGCTCAACAATTTTTACATTAACACTGGACCCCATTTTAGGCAATGGAATAATTTTTATAGGCAGAACTGGTAGTGGTCTCATAATGCATAACCGTTGACATAAAATCTTACTTATTTTTATGCTTTTTTTTAAGGGATTAGCAAATTTATATGAGAAACCCAACCAAACAGATGTCAAAGGAGACTTAGCAGATGTTTACCAAAAACTCTTGGAACTCTACAAAAGGTAAAGGACATTAAATGCCTTAGTTCAGTCTAAGATTTATAGTTTAGTGAATGCCATTGCTGATATACAGTACAGACTTTGATTACTTTTTTTTAAAGCCTTCTCATGTCAGTGCATCAGCACTTTTTACTAAGGTTTTCTCTACCAAATAAGGTTTCTTATTTCTTCACTTTTGGTAAGGCAAAAACTCTTAGTTTAATTGGACCTGAGGTTAGTAGTTTAGCGAATTCCTTATTATCCTATTCCTGTGTAAACTCACTGCCTTGAAGCATTTAGCTCTGATTGTTCATTGCCTGCATTAATAAATAGGCTTATTTTTCTCTGCTTTAAGATCACAGAATATATGTCATCTGACTCAAAGAGATACAGTTCTAAACAAATTTAACTCAGCTATCACTTTAACTGACAGAAGTGTTCGGCTTGTTTGCTTTATTTGAAAATTGATCAAAAAGAAATGTACAGTCCTTAAAAGTATTTTTTTTTCTTATTCAGAGCAGCAATGAATAAAACCTAGAGGGAGATATGGAGCATTTATTCTAAATATTAGTTTGACAACTGAACCTACTGAGAATTTTTCACCAGAATTTGGAAAGCATCATACTATTATGTGAAAAACTTAGCTTGTTTTTTGGGGATTTTCTTCCTCCTTTCTAGTGGTGACAAACAGAAATGGTGTGATGTATGTAACAAGCTTGTGGAACTATATCATCAAGAAAAAAAGTATTTAGAGGTAGGTCAAGTACTTTACTTTCTCTCTTCTAACAAGAATTTTCAATTTGATCAGAAGTAACTATTTTTCATCAGGGAATCCCCACTTTTTGGGCCACAGATGACTTAAGATCTCCTTGTGGACCGCAGCCAGGAAGAACTGATTTTAACTGTATTTCTTTCTTTTCCACTCTGTAAAACTTGGATGCAATCCATTAAACCGTCAGAAAGTGACAAGACTATCAGAATACAGACTGAAAGGGTGGAATATAATTTTTCTGTTATATTTCTAGAAGTCACGAATGGTCTCAAATGCACGTTTACGTGCAATATATGTGAGTCAGGTGTCATTTGACTTGCTTGGCCAATTCTAGGTGTCTGATTAATCCTTCACTGGTGTGGTGATCCCCTCCTAGACTGTCCCTCCCTGATGCTTCATTCCAGAGGGTAAGGTAGGATACATACACAACTTAAACTCAATTGCATGAGTCTTATGTACTGCATTCCCAGCAGAACAATAAGGACACAAAAAGCCACTCAAGAGCTTTGCAGAAATAATCATAACCCTTGTCAGTGCCATGAGGTGGAGTTGTTGAATGCCTGAGTAGTTCAACAGTAATATTTCCTGCAGTCTCTGTAATAATGTTACAGAATGAGTATTTTGGAGGTATGCTAGTGACTTTTCCTTTGCTCTTTGAAAAGGTTGCTTTCTTACAAGATGGTGCATCGTTGTACTCTCTGTCATCTTCCCACCTTACCTACAACAATGAAAAATGAAAAAATTTACATATCACATAGCATCAGGCTCAAGACTATTAATTTGTTCCAAAGCCACTTTTTATACCGGTTTCTGAAACTCAATTCAATGCTAATAATTTAGCATATGAAAGCAGACTTGCTCTATGTGGAGCAGGAAACTGAA